GCCATTATTCAAGTTCGTTCTGGAGTCTCAAATAAAATTATGCTTTTTCTAGTTCTATATGCACCACAGAACCCCAAATTTCACAATATAAAACTTTCCAATTTTGTTCCCATTGCTCTAATCTCTTTTCCACCACCTCAGTTCTTGCCTCTACTGTGTTTAATTTTTGTTCATTTTTTGTCATTGTCTCCTGCATCTTTCTGATTTTACTATCCAAATTTTGTATCTCTTTCTTCACTCCTCCTATTTCCGTTCTCATTTCTAATTTCATGTCTTCATGATTCCTCGCTATCAGTTCATGGGTTTTTACCATCATTTCCTGCATCATGGCAAGTGTTGACTGTATTGCCCGAAAACTTTCGGCAGAACTTGTCTTTTCCACCAATAACATTGCATCACTCGATCTCTGTCACAGAGGTGAAGATGGGAGCCATCATTTTCAACTAATTGTTTTTGGTAATGCTACATACAGTCCTTTCAACTTATACCTATTATTGGAGATACCAAATCTTTGCTGGATAGATATCAGGTGCAAGACTCTTTCCAGGAAGACACAATTGAAGCTACACAAGAGGTGCTGCAAGCAATGGCCAATAACTGAAAACTGTGATAGTCCACATAGACGAGCTTTGAAAAAAAAACCATGACAAAAGCATATGGATGTAACAGCAGACCAAGTACCAACCAGCTACTGAAAAATGGGAAAAAAGTAAAAAGAGGCAAAAGAGTAAAAAAAAAAACAGCCATCTGAACAAGAGGAAGGGTGATTAAATACCCCTTTTGTGGTATTCGAGCTGGAAGAAGCTATAAAGACTGTGAAAATGAATAAAGCAACAGGCATTGATGATTTTAGAACACAACTGATAAAGCCGTTTCATCCCCATACTCTGGACTAGCTCCTACAATTGATGAACAACTGTATAGTTGAGTTTAAAATCTCAAAATTATGGAGACAGCTTAGAGTTGCACCCTTACAGAAACCTGGCAAAAACCCAGATGATCTGAAAAATACCAATCAATATCATTCCTCTGCCATCTCTGAAAGGCACTAGAATGGATAATTTTCAACTGTATCTCTAAATTTATTGATGGAAAAATCATAAGAGAGCAAGCATGTTTTAGAGCAGGCAGGTCATGTTGTGGCCAAATCCTAAACTTTATGAAACATATTGAGGATGGTTTAGAAAGAAAGCTAATTACCTGAATGCTTTCCACGTTCAAAATTGAATTTCGAAAGAAGAGTTGTGGCAATAGAACTGTCTAAGAGCACAGTCTAACATCAAAGTATCTTGATATAACACTTGCACATCAGCTTTGGCTTTTAGCATCTCTAAACAGAATATGCTGCTCCAGTGTGGGGTACATGTGCACATGCGAAGCAAGTTGATATTGCCATCAATGAAGCAGTATGTTTAGTGACAGAATGTCTCAAACATATGTGTTAATTAAGAAAATATATTCTCTCTCTGACATTGCCTCACCTAAGATAAGGAGCAAGTTTGCAATAGATGCCAAGAGAAATAAGAATGACCCTCGGTATCCTCTGAACAGATATATTCCCAAACCAGCCAATTCAGATATAGGAACAATTTTATGGCAAGAACAAATATTCTTGAGGACATGCAAGAACAAAGTTGAATGGAGGAAGGAGACCATCGAGCAACATTAAAATGGGATATGGCTAAAGGATCCAATCTTCCTTATACTATTTGGAGGACCCTGAATACGTTGAGAGTATAAATCCAAAATGCACAAGAGGAGGTTCTTAGCAGATACCAATACAGTGTGCAAATGTGGAAAGACACAGAGCCCAGCCAACAGCTAGTATGCCAGCTACTACCAGAAAATGTAACTATAATGACTTATTTTTGGCTTTCTTTTTTTGAGATAAAGCCAAGAAGGTGATTTCCTTCTGGAAATTTAAAGTTTAACCTAGACACAGAAGAACTTATATTGCAGCTCATTTTCACATAATAATTGAGCAACCAGATTTTTAGCTCATGACTAGCCAAAGTTACATAAAAATGGTCTATAAAAGTCCACATAAAAGGAACTTCTGATTAAAGGACTTCTTCTGAGTGGAACAGAAAGTATCACTTAAAACATAGAAGAACAACCCAGTTTATAGTTAGGTTGAAGTCAATCATTTAAAATAATATTAGTTTCCCACTTTACTATTGGACATGGATTTCATTGCTGATCCAACAGAAAGATTGAAATCAGTGGCCTTTCAGATCTTCCAATCATCCTGATCTGCGCCCATGTTGGCTGGAGCTGTTGAGAATTGGAATTCATAAACTTCTGGATATGACTGACCACAATTTTCATTCCCTATTGGTAGATATTATTTTATAAACAAGAGAGCCCTGTTCCACTTTTGGCCCCAAAATGGCTTACATCATTAATAGCATATTTTCTGCTATTAATTTCTGCAGGCATTCAGATTGGTAGCTGGAGTCTTTCAGAAAATGTCAAGTCTTAAGAAGAATAAAAGTTGAGTATCCTTAGGCACAGAAAAACATAGTATATGTAACATACTTAAAACTTTAATTAATTTTAACAATTAATTAATCATTACTAAGCATATTTAAGGAAGCATTTCTGTTTCATCATTACGTTATTTTCCCTGGATTGAGCAGGAAAGCACTTTAACTTTTCCTTTTCATTATTCAACCAGTAGAATAAAGACATGCCCTAAGAAAACTTGTTTCCGACTTAGTGTTCAGAAAAAAGCATTAATCAGATCATGGTCCTGGACACTGTCTATTTCTTAAACTCTTAGGATATGGCATTCAACTTGCCAGGTAGTAGCCCAATAGTAAAATGGGAATAATGTCTAGCTCTATAATATTTTTATGCTACATAATTACTTTCTAACAAGAGACCACATGCACAGATATGTATGACAAATCATTCAAAAGTATTTCTTACACTACACCCAATGTTCTGCAAATATTATGACAGCCTAGGAAGAAAAAAAAATGGTTCATTTCTCACCCTTTGCTTTAAAATTCTAAAATTATGTTTCTTTCACTACTGCAACTTAGATATGCATTTGATTAAACTTGTTTATGTGATTTGGCCATTAGTAGAGGGCTATACAGATGATTTTACTTTGAAGCTCCTGGAATTTGAGAATTGGTATTGTAATTATGGCTGTCCTTCTCTATGAAAACAGAGCTCTCTAATACAGCTGATAGGATTTTTCCACTCAAGATGTATATTTTTTGAGGCCAGATATGTTTCATGAATTGTAGCCTGTACATTTCCTCCATAGGAAAGAATTCAAACTTACCCTGCCTTTAGAAAACTTTGATTATGAAGTTCAGGCACAAAGACATGACCACCAAGCTTCCTTCAAATCTATCTCTATCTCATGCAACTAAAAGGTACCACCAAGACCAGCCTATGCTTACCAGATGCATCTTTGCCGCAGGTTTCTTAACAAAGGTGGAGTTCTTTTTCCCAAGATTATCCTAAAGAAGGTCCATGTAATGTTCTTGCCAAAGCTCTGGATTCAGGTAGTTATAGAAAGTATTACTGTTAGACAGAGAAACAGACCCAGCCCAGCCAGCATGAATGCAGGGTTTGATGTTCTTAATAACATCAAAATAGCCTCTGTGTCTGTAACCACAGTATTTCTCATGAAAGATAACATATAATTATCTGTGTTTATTGAACACATTCCTCCTTTCGCAGGTTAAGTTTGAACTGTAAAACTGTTATGTCTTTTGGAAAAGTTTCTCAGTGGTTCGTTTGGCTACAAAGACTGTGAGCATCTAGCTTTCTGGTTCCCTGTTAATGGGAGTCTGGCCTTTAATAAGCTGATACAACTCTAAGGATTCTTATTCCATGTTCTAACTAGCAATCTTTTTTTTCCACCAGATTTTTATTTCCCACCTTTAGTAAACAATCAGAATCCCCTAGCTGTTCTTTGTGCTGCTTTCTCATAGGCCAATAGTTTGTTTAACTCTTTAGGATCTTAGTTGCTATTTTTCTTCTCTTCAACTTTGGGGACTCCCTATACACACTGATAGTTCTGTCTTTTCTTAATGCCCCTCTTTTAAACCCTCAGTTATAGTTCTTAGGCTGGATTTCCCCAAGCAGAATCTATGTATGTATGGTATTGTTCTATATTAGCATACTCGAAATACCCTTGTCCGATTGGTTCACACATTCTGCAAGCTGATCGGTTAACTAAACTACTGTGATTGGCTCTATACGGATCAACCGTGATTGTCCAGGCCAATCGTGGAAGATTCAAAGAGCCATCATTGGCTGCGAGCCGCAAGCAATCCCTATATGAAGGGCTGCCGCAGCTCCAAGGTCTTGCACAGATCTATACATAAAATAAAGAGCTGAAAAAAGTCACACTGGTCTCGAGTCTCCTTTCCCACGATCAAACACGTATGGTAGCAGAGTCTGGTGGTTTTCTTCATGAAGACCTTCTGCTGTACCTTCTAGAAGTGCACTTAGAAGAATCCTTTCCCTCCCCCTCTTTCTACTTCTCCCTTTCTTACCTGGTAGCCACTGAAACCATTGAATGTTTTCATGACTCACTCTTTAGCCTTCTCTCCCCTTCCTTAGAATATAACACATTAACTGGTTGATTTATAATTTATAGATATTAATAAATTTTATAATTTTATGTTATGGTTTATATAAATCTCAGGGATACCCTAAGCCTACTTATACTAAAGACCAGAATCTTTAATTGGCACCAGTTATTTCACCAGCTAGGAAATGCTAAGAAAACAGACAAGGAAGGCATCACACATTTCTTTTCCCTTTGCTGCTATCACTTTGTTCATAGGCATTCTCTTCTTTGCTGATTGCCAGAGCTCTTTTTCTCAAATTGAGGGTGAGAGTTCATTTCTCGGTGACTGGTACATTAACTTTCTGTTTGCTGAGTCAGAGAGAGGGTTAGCCACACCTGCAACTTAAGTTGTGCGGGGAGTGGTTTGACGTGATATCAGATTAAGGCAGTCTTCTCCCCTCCTTGTTTCTGTTCTGATTAAACTCTCCTTAATCCCGGTGACTATCTTTCTGTGAAATATAGTTCCTGTTTTTCTCAGGTTGTTATTTAGGTTTTCTTTTCCACCATTGCAGGAAGTCTGACTTAAAATAGAGCTGCAGACATTAAGGCCATAATTGCCATATGGAAAGCCTGCACTCCTGCTGTTTTTCTAGGGTGGGGGTAGATTTGTGCTCTCCTTCAGCCCTTCATGTGTGTCTGGACAAGTGGCGGAGAGTGACGTGACTCTCTCTCACACAGGGCCAGCACTGATTCATGCCAGGAAGCTTTCTCCAGCCATGCTGAAGCAGATCCTGTCCGACATGTATGTGGACCCAGAGCTCCTGGCTGAGCTCAGCGAAGAGCAAAAGCAGATATTGTTCTTCAAGATGAGGCAGGAGCAGGTCAGAAGGTGGAAAGAAAGAGAAGCAGTAGCTACCACCCCAAAGCCAGTACTGAAGAAAGGTCAGTGTATGACCATTTTCTTTCTTATTTCTTGTCCAGAATTTTATCTCACTTTCCAAGCATTGACTCAAAGTTTGCCATTGGATAAGTTTTGATGATGTTGTTGAATGAAAAAGCAATATTCTGTAGCTTTAGATGATGCGTGCTTTTACATAAATCATTAAAAATTTAAGCTGAATAACCAGCTGGTTAAACAAGAGAGTTTTTTTAGCCCTCCTAAATTCTAAGATTGAAGTGAGCCAAAGATCAGACTCACTAGCAAATTTGACAGGAATATTTTTTTCATAGTTTCCTCATAGGGAACATCCATCCACGTGGCATTTTGTCCAGTATTCTCAAGCACTTTGAAGCAGTCTTGACAATTATCTTTACTCCCTTCTTGCTACAGAACGTTGAGAATATAGTAAGTCAGTTCAGCTAGCCAAGAGGAGCCTGAAAAAAGAATAGGGAGCTTTCTACCTGAGCTGCTTCTGGTGCAATAAGCATTATTCCACAAAAAAAGGAAACAAGATACTGTAAAGTGCTAGCATTGCCCTTTCATATCCTAGTACATGTATATATGAAGGTTTTTTGTAGAAAGGAATAGGTGAAGATAAGGAGTATTTGCAATATGGTGAGGCTTCCTGGTAGCCAACCCCATTGATTGTGATATGATATTATGTCACGTATGTTGCAACCAAGCACTTTTCTCAACAATCAGGTTGTTGATTGTTGCAACAAATCAACAGGAAAAAGATCCCATTGGGATGGCTGCAAGGTATGATCCAAAAAGTAAAGCTTGCAACTATCATAGTGTCCTGCATGCTCCATATTAAAAGCTGCATGATCCATATTAAAAAACAAGCAATAAAAAAATTAGCAACCTATTACTTTGCACACAATCCCTATGGTAAAGTTGGAATCAGCCAAATTTATTTACCTTTTCATCCCAGCTTATCTTTCCAACATCCCCCACCCCATTCCATTCAAAAGTACAAATAACAGAGGTGATAATGAGTCACTTTGGAAGTCATTTTCCTGGCCTAGAAAATCAAATTTAAATGCTTTGCCCACTTCTTTACAGTGTGGAACATGTTATTCTTTTCAGTGGAATACTGAAGTTGGAGTTAGATGGAATTTTATCACTTCAGAATTTTTGGGTGTTACAGTGATTTTTGTTTCTATTTTTCACTGTTCAGAAGTAAAAATGAATAGAAACAGCATTCAGACTGCCAAGTTGGCTCTGCCCACTCACAGACACCAAGTTACCACTTACTGTGGGTGGCAGGAGGAAGAGCTAGATGGGCAGGCAAGCAAGTGGGAGCTGGTGGCTTCCCATTTTCATACCTCCCACCGCCTCCCCTGCCACTGGGACAAAGAGGCTGGAGGAACAGCGGTAGTGGTTGGAATGGGCAGCAGGGAGGTGGTGGCCGCTGAGGACATCCCATTTTCACAGGAGACTTTAAAAAAAAAACATATTGTGTTGGTCAAAACCAATGTACTTTATTTAGGTCATTGACCAGTTTTATGTACCATAAAACATGGAATTTGCGATATAAAGCAGGACCATTTAAATTCCCTTCCCTTAAGATACCAATTAGTTGTGATAGAGGGATTTCTCACTATCTAATTTCATGAAGATGTTTTGCAGTTGGCTTTGAAATAACAGCTAAGATAATTGAGGGTTTGGATAACAGTATTTTTCATGACCAGCATCTGCCTAAATGTTTAATTAGAAGTTATGTCTATAAGTGTTGCTCATTTTAACTAACAACCCATACTATAATTTCTATTACTTTGGGGTCTCTTTAACTAGAGATGGAACTAGAGAATTATGAATGCAGTCTCAGGTCTGAAATATATTGATATTATGTAAATTCTATTTAATATTATATTTTTATATAATATGATTTCCATTTCTTGGAAGAATAATTTATGTCAATATTAGTAAGCCCAACAAGGCCCTCAAGCAAGATAGAATAAATAGTACTAATTAGCTATAATTTGATAAAAGCATGGCATTATATAAAGAAAATAATATGCTCAACAATTGGACCATTAACCTCTTCTTTAAATGCCTTCAGTGTTGGAGTCAGAATAAGAAACATGTAATTACATATGCAGACAAGGCCCATTCAGATTCAATGAATAGAAGGCACAACAAGAATTATTCAGTGAAGAACAGAATGTACTGTGATTGATGTATTTATAAATTGCTAGAAGTATAAAATCTGATCTTAAGAACAATAGAAAGATATTAAGAAAAAAGAAATTCAAAGTGCTTATATCAAACAAAAAACATCTGCCAGGGCATATATATGTATATATCCCTACTTAAAGATGATAGAACAAATAAAAAGCAGTATAAAAATACAACAGTGGGAAGAATTATGGATCAAATTAATAAAATCTAAAAAAAATATTAAAAAATAGTACAAAATATTAAAATTGGTATGCAACTTAATCAATAATGTTCAAGATAGACATACATTACTATAATAAATGTTGGAAATGCCTTGAAATAAAAATAACATTTTACCATATGAAAAAACCTTAGAATATTAAAACCTTTAATATGTACAAACAATAATAAGTAATAATACAATAGAGAGTTTACTAACAAATTATTTGTTGTATTTTGCAGTTGCTTATTAAAGTCATATTTATCTTTGGATGCAAAATTTCATACTAACATAAACTTTATCTCTAAAGGCTTCAGCCATCTAAATTGTTAAATTAGTAAAGTGTTAATAATCTCAAATCAATATTGTCTAAATACCATTATACTCAATAATAAAATATACTATTTATGCTTTACAATAAAGTGGTAACCTCAGAAGTCATTGATAATTGGTTCTGGAAGGCACAAGGAGTACTAAAAATGATGAATGCAAACAACCACATGACTTACCACATGACCCTTTGTTTCAGTTGGGAAAGACTTCCTGTCTATCCATTTTCCTATGTCAGTGACTTTTCCAGCATGGTCGATTTCCTGTTTGTCTTCTGCAGCTGTCCCCCACTTCCTTTTGCAGTGATCTTTATGGTATAGCCAATTTTCTGTCCATTCTCCATGGTCATCCCCCTCTTTGGCATATCAAGTACCAAACAAATGACAAAAACTAGAACAACATTTTCATGCCAAAATGCTTTGAGTACCAAATTTGATGAGTCTTGAAGCAATCAAGTACTGAAGTAACACAACTTTAAAAAAAGAATAAATCTTGTTTTTTCCACTAATATAAATTGCGCATGATTTTACAAACAGATCACTCCTCATTAAATGCTAGAATGTATCTGATATAGTAATTCTGCTATTATAATAATAGAATTACAAATTGCTGGCTTGAAGCAGCTCTAGACAAATTGGTTTTTTACTTAATCTGCTATCAAGCTGCACTAGATTAAGTTTATTGACACTGACATGACGGATATTTTTTAAAGAGAGGTCCATGGCAGGCACAAACATTCTTTAAGGCAAGCAGAAACTTCAGTGCAGATAACAGAAAGCAACTATACCATGGCTGCTTTTTTCTATTTGTTGTAGACAAGCTATAGACCCATGATGGTGAACCTATGGCACATGTGCCACAGATGGCATGCAGAGCCATTTGTGCCGGCATGCAAGCCCCAGCCAAACTTAACTCACTGTGCATACGCGCTCCTCCCAGCTGTTTTTTGGCCTGTTTGAGGCCTTTTTCGGCCTCCTAGAGACTCGAGGGAAGCCTCTGCAGCCTTTAGAGGCCAAAAACCAGGCCTATTTTATCACTTCCTGTATATCTGGAAATACCAGAAGTGACAAAACGGGCCCATTTTTCAGCCTCCAAAGGCTGCAGAGGTTTCCCTCAAGCCTCTGGGAGGCAAAAAAAAATGGCTTCAAATGGGCCAAAAATCAGCTGGGAGGTGCGAGCATGCCCAATGCAGGCAAGGGGGCAGCGAAGGGGGGATTGCACATCCATGTACAAGGGGTCTGAGGGGGCACGCGCATTGCCTTTTGGGTGCTGGCATGTGTGGGCACGCAATTTTTAGCACAGGAGCCCCAAAAGTTTAGCCACCACTGCTGTAGGCCATATCAAGTGCATCTGGTTCACCAGATGAGTTACTCAGCCTTCAGACCCATTTTTCCTTTTCTCACTCTTTCCTGAATCCAGATATAATTAACTTATCATGAAACATGAAGTCTGTCACTTTATGGTAAATGGTGGGTGTAGGGAGATGGAGGTAATGAATTTGTTAACTGTTTTGCACTGTAAAGACAAGAAGTGAAAATAATTTGTGTTATATTTTATCTCAACTAAATAGTCTATTGTTATATGAATCAGTAGCTGACTCCAATGGGGTTGTGTTCTTCTTCTTTTTTTGCACAGCTTTCTCTTGTTTTCCCCAAACAACTTACTTTGATCCTCATAAAACAAGGGCAGGATTTTCAAGCCAAATTGTTGGCTAAGAGACAAATTTGAAGGGAAACTGGGACATTAAGAGGTTAATTATTGACATGGACTATAAAAATGAAAATTAGGATGGAATATTTCTTATTTAAAGAGAGAGGCTCTTTGTGTGTGTGTAAGTGGTATTCAGCAGATTCTGACCAGTTCTGGAAAACCGGTAGCCGAAATTATGAGTAGTTCGGAAAACCGGCAAATGCCACCTCTGTCTGGAGATTTTACAGTATCCTTCCCCTGCCACGCCCACCAAGCCCCGCCCACAGAACCGGTAGTAAAAAAAATTGTGTTCAGGTCTTCTCCCATGTAATATTGAGAGTATCTTGGCAACGTTTCTACGAGGTCCCACTCGCCATCTTCAGGCTGGTGCTTTCAACTTCGTGCTTGTGCAAGCAAAGTGTGATTGGAGCTGCCCTCTCTGTATATATACTGGTGGGGAGGTTGGCTGTGTTGTCAGTTCTTGATTGGTTGATGGAGTTGATGTTTGCAGATTGGCTGGCTTTTTTATAAGAACATGTGTGGCTGAGGTATTGGCTGTGTGTCTATCTGCCTCATGTGTTGTGTTTGAGAAGACCCGAACACGCCAAGACCTGCATATGTACCCATGAAAATCTACGAAAACATATGTGTGTGTGTGTGTGTGTATAATAAATTTATGAGATATCAGTATTTAAGAATGGAGGAAATAGGACAATGTTTATGTTTAGTAAAGTAAAGTATGTGGCCTTATGCTATCCTTTAGAAACAAGGTTTATAGAACTTCCGCAAGGTTATCAGTCCAAGAATGCAACCATTAGAATGAAAATTTTCTTTCTCAACCATAATTAAGTTAGAAACAAATATTGTAATAAATAGGCAAATGAAGGCAAGAGTAGAACTATCAGCTTAAGGTCTGTATGGTATCTTTGGAATTTAGAATACATCTATATGCAAAGGCAACACAATGGTTGGTCTCTGATTCACCCTATCATTATTTTATACCAGCATTCAGTTTAGTGCATTAATTAATCAACTAGCCCATATTAATACTGGAGCAGCATGTATATGGATGAAATCAAGATAAATTTATTATTTTAAAGCTTTGCTCATAACTGGTTGCTAATAGTTCTTATTGTTATGGGATAGTTTTGTATTGTTTATTTTACTGTTTGTACTTTTATTATGAATGAAGGCGAATATATATGTCCCAGGATCATATTTCAGGATCAGATATGGGTTACTCACTGGGACTAGAGATTTTGTCTTCCAAACTGGGCTCCAGCACGAGTCTGAAAGCTCGGAAGACAAAATCTCTGGTCCCCGTGACTGACCAAGATTGGATCATGTACTTTTATTAGTCAGTGACTAAAACAAAGTTTCTGTCTGGATGAAACTACTAAGATATTTGTTAATTCATGTATTTTGGCTTCATTTATTCTATCAACAATCTCAAATGTCTCTGAATAGATTTTCCTTATATCTATTAAAATAGTAGTACAGAAATATTAGACTTCCTTTTGACTTTTTTTTAACGGAACTGCTAAATGGGTACCTTTAAATCCCTTATGGAATTTATCTAAATTCATTTGAGCTTGTAAAATATTGGAGGCCACTTTGCTATTCCATTAAAGAGTCAACCAGATGGAAGTGGACATGGATGGTAGAGGAGCTTAATAGACTGAACATACTGTAGATTACTGCTAATTTCACTGACGTAAAAGCAGTTATATGTTATCTTTCAGACCATGGAAAATCTGTGCAGTGGAAGCTTGGTGCAGATGGTGATATCTGGGTATGGGTAATGGGAGAACACATGCTGGATAAACCATATGATCTTCTGGGTAGTGAGATTCTTGCTGAAAGCGTGAAGCAACAGTCACTTCAGCAAATAGAGACAATAAGGTTAGTATGGTCTTCCAAAACTGAAAACAAATACACCAAATCTGTCATTAAAAGGAATTTCATTTGTAGTCCTTTTGCTCTGGTATCCTGTCTAATATCTCTATTTAACAGTAGAATAAAGGAGATAAAGGATGCCCCTGTTTTGTTCCCTTCTGGATTTCAACTGATTTTATAAAATCTCCATTCGTCATGATTCGAGCTTTCTGGAGCGTATAGATAGACTTCAGATTCTGTATAAATCCAAATCAGTCCAAATTCCATTTTTTCCAATACTTTAAATATAAAGGTCCATTTCAAATTGTCCAAAGCTTTTTCTGCATCCAAAAAAATTAATGCAACCTGTTTGTCGTTACATTGCCATAAATATTCAATCATATTCAAAATTATTCTTACATTATCTTTTAATTATCTTTTAGGTAAGAAGCTATACCGGTCTTTACGTATATAATCCTGTAAAAACGTTTTAAAATATTTCAGCTAAAATAGATGTAGTCATTATTAAGGAGATTGCCCTGTAGTTAAATCCAGTCCATCTTTGGGTATTAAAGAAATGTAGGCAGAAGTAATTGATCTTCAAAAAATTTATAGAATCCGCTCAGTAGGCCATCTGGTCTGAGAGCTTTGCCTGTTTTAGCTCTTTTAATGGCTTCTATTATTTCAAAAGTTGTTATTGGACTGTTCAATTCAAGTCTTTGAATGTTTTTGTTATTCATGTAAGTCTTATTCCCCTCTTGAAGCTTGGTTATCATCGTCTTTTCTGTCTTAGTTTGTTTGCCAACTATCTCTCTGGTTTATTTGCATATTCAAAAAAGTGTTGTTTCATATCTTTAAGTTTCTTTTCAATATTTGAAACAATTAACAAAGAAATTTGTTGCTGCAATATTTTTACTTGATTAAATATGTTATAATCTTCTGGTTAGCTCTGGAGTTCCCTCACCTTTAATTTAATTTCTTGTAACGTATTTTGGATTTTTTTTCTTCCATTTTCCTCTTAATTACTTTATTGTACTGTATACAATATCCTCCTATCACAGCCTTATAAGCATCCCATTTTATTGTCAAATTTGTTCTCTTACCTAAATTATTATTAAAATGGTTTTCAAGTACCTGTTTACATTCTTTAACAATTTTTGGTCTCATTTAATCTCCATTTAAGAGGACCAAATTTAAGATGTAAAGTCACATCTTATGAATTACGGTCAGAAAGTTTTTAGAAGAATAATAGCTTTGGTTGTTTTGTAAATCCAAATCATATCAATTCTAGAAAAGGATTTCTCTGAAAAAAGGCAAAGTCTTTCGTTAGGTCATTTTTATATTTCCAAACATTGATTAAACCTAAAGTATCAGCCAGCTTGAAAAAAATTGGGGGCAATTTCCCTTGTGTTTGTTTAATTCCTTTACCCGCTGATCTGTCCAATTGTGGGGTTACTACTACATATAGTCTCCAATTACACACCAATACTGAAAAGAATAGGAGAGTAAATGTTCAGACAGATGTTTAATACACACACACACACACACACATACACATGCAATATATAATACAATATCATAGGATGCTTTAAATTTTTCTTCTATAAAAAGTGGTAAAGACAGTGAAAGGAACAGTGGTGGGATTCAAATAATTTAACAACTGGTTTTCTGCCGTAATTACCAGCTGGGTAGGAATGGCTGGCTGATGATGTGACTGGGTGGACGTGGCCAACTTGATGTCACTCCCGTCAAGGGACACTTTGCCTCATCTGGCCTTTTCTGATCGTGGGGATGCTGCAACAGTCCTAAGATGGCCATATGTTCCTTTTTACAGTGCGTTGTAATTTTAAATGGTCACTAAATGAACTGTTGTAAGTCAAGGATTACCTGTACAAAAATACAAAAAACTTATTTGTTGCAAAAAGCTGTCCTAAATATCAATCATTACATTAGAAGTGGAGGTATACACACTGAAGATCAATGATAGCCATAGTCATCATGGAAACCTAAGCCAATCTGTCTGAATACCTTCTTTTTTATCAGCAATACCTGCAAGCCAGAATTACAAATCAGGCAGGGTGCCAGAGCACCTTGAGGAATTAAAATAGTTAAAATGCAATGATAAATATCTTTGCTCTTGCTCATGAAGTGAAACCCTTTAGCAGAGAGGTCATTTAAGCTCTCCAGAAAGTGGGTGGGCACCCTTGGGCTACAAAATGCCAGGCTAAAGAGACAAATTAACGAAGTATATAGGGACCCAGGTTCAAGTCTCTGCCCTCCCATGCTTGTGGATCACAATAAAATTAGTACATGCCACAGATATCTAAATAAACTTCAAGTCTGGTGGCATGTTACTATGCCTTATTATCACGAGAGAAAACTAAAATTAATTGAAGGATCCACACACCTACCTCCTTTTTTTTAACCTTACTATCAGTGAGCAATCATGTGCCTTGGCCACTCTGAAGCAATGAAAGAGACTCCTGTCCCAAAGGTGCTTTTTCAAGATGCAACTGGACTTTCTGGAGACCAAGTTGCCTCTTGTAGAAAGTTAGCACCCTCCCCCCAGAAGAATGAAATATTAAAAAGGCAAAAAATTATATTTCCCTAAATGAGAAATAGAGAAACATGCTCTTAAAAGGCAGGAAACAGTCTCAATCTTTCTTAATAGCCGCAAAGAAACTGAGGAGGTTACCATTTAAAAATGCAGATTTGGTAATCCATTCAAAACAGGATTAAAACCCCAAGGAAACCAGCATCTAGGATTAATTCTGTGGTGGTCTGGCACTTGAAATGAGACGCAGGGAAACGTCTGAGCAAATGCCAGCTCTGAGCGAACTCAGGCAGCAGTATTTATTGAAGATTCAGAAAACAAATGACCTCGACAAAATAATAACATACAGGCACAGAAAGTCCCGCTGACGAAAGTCCTTGCT